GTTGCCCCGAAATTACAGTGCTAGGTCATAGATGCACTTATGCTGGTCGCCTACCCTTAGAAAGTATTGCCTCTACGGTATTACGTTGGGGACCATGCATTAATCTCTCGGACGCTCGTGCTTTTATTGGTACGGTTGGAGTACTACGGATTTTCATCGAAAACTTCGCAACCCGAGCTTTACCTATTACCAAATTATTCCGCAAGGGCGTAGAGTTCAAGTTCGAAGAAGAAGAAATTGCCGCACAAGAAGATCTTAAAATTGCCGTGAAGGATAGCCCAGCGTTAAGGCCCCTTAATTATAAATCGACAGGAGCTGTCATACTTGCCGTGGATACAGGGCCTGCCGCTGTCGGCTATTATCTTGCTCAATGCGACCCTGTCGATCCGTCGATCCGGTATTTTGCCAGATTTGGATCAATCACGCTCAATGAACGCGAGTGCGGATATTCTCAAGCAAAGAAAGAGATATTTGGCCTCTATAGAGCGTTAGGAGATTGCAAAATCTATTTAATCGGTCTTCCTACCTTTGTTGTAGAAGTTGACGCCAGTGCCATCAAGGGTATGCTCAAAAACCCTGATATTGCGCCTTCAGCTGCAGTAAACCGTTGGATTATCGGAATTCTCTCATTTCATTTCGTCCTAGTCCACGTACCAGGTACCAAACATGGTCCAGATGGATTATCCCGACGCCCACCCCAACCAGGAGATCCTCCACCGCCCGAAGATGGGATGGAAGACTTCTTACACACTCATTATGGGCTGATGCATTTAATAAATTCGACTTCCCCTACCATTAATCCGCCCACGACCCTAGTACAATGCCTGTTACAAGATTCTGAAGTCACGGCATTAGAAGAAACTCAGACGTTACCTTATTCAGCAGTACCCCGCACGGCAAAACAAAATCGTCTAGATGAACGGCTTAATCATTTAATACCGTGGTTCATCAGTTTGAAAAGACCGCCTGGTTACGACGATATTGCCTACAAGAAATTCATGAAATATGCTGTTCAATTCTTTGAAAGAGATGGTAGACTTTGGCGTAAAAATCCGCAGGGGAAACACCAGTTCGTAGTATTCCCTCGAAGACGCATGTTTGTGATGACGTCTTGTCATGATGATGTCGCACATAAAGGATTTTATGCGACCCACGCCTTAGCCAAAGAACGCTATTGGTGGCCGGATATGAAGTATGACCTTGCGTGGTTCGTACGGACCTGTCATCTTTGTCAAGTACGGCAAACCCGCCAAATCCTTATTCCCCCAACTGTTGCAATTCCAGCTCCGCTATTTTCAAAGATGTACATGGACACAATGATAATGCCGACCTCCGGACAGTTCAGATATATCGTCCAAGGCCGGTGTTCGCTCAGCCACTATCCAGAATTCCGCTGTCTTAGAAAGGAAACCGCTCGTACTATAGGAGAATGGATCTTTGAGGATATTTTATGCCGTTGGGGATCCCTAGTCGAGATCGTTACAGACAATGGGAAAGCCTTCGTCGCGGCATTAAACTATCTTCAAAAGAAATATCATATCAACCATATTCGCATTTCCGGATATAACTCCAGAGCCAATGGGATTGCGGAAAGGCCACACTTCGACGTCCGTCAAGGCTTATTTAAGGCCTCTGATGGGGATCAAAAGAAGTGGAGTCAAAATGCCTATTCCGTATTCTGGGCAGATCGCATCACTATCAGGAAGCGCATGGGTTGTTCCCCGTATTTTGCCGCCACCGGAACGGAACCCCTTCTCCCCATGGATATTGTCGAGTCAACTTGGCTAATGCCGCCACCTGATAATATCATCAGTACCACTTCTCTAATAGCACGTCGTGCAGTCAGTCTTCAAAAGCGTTCAGAAGATCTCGAACGTTTAAGGTCTAAAGTCTATGAGGCTAGGCGCAATGCTGCCATTAAATTCGAGAGGGATCACGAGCATACTATCCGTGATTTCAACTTCCAAAAAGGAGACTTAGTCTTGATGCGGAATACGCAAATAGAGAAAGCCTTGAATAGGAAAATGCGCGCCCGGTATTTAGGTCCTTTAGTGATCTTAGGACGGAATAAAGGCGGTGCATACCTTCTTTGCGAATTAGACGGCTCTACCTTCGCCAGACCTGTTGCAGCATTTCGGTTAATTCCGTACTTCGCCAGACAGAAGATTGATCTTCCCGATATTGCAACTATTGTCGATATTCCACCTGCACTGTATCACCGAGCTCTTTGAATCAAATGACGATGGCACCCTCGATGATCTTCCAGACCTAGAAGAGGATCACAATGAGGCGGAATTAGCTTAAGTCACTCGAAGAATTGGTGTTGAAACCAAAATATTATTTATTTGGGGCCCTTTTGGCCACCCATACACGCTCATTCTAAAATAATATACAACCGCTGGTTGAACAGCGGTACTACGACACTCCTTCAAAATTAAAAATGCCGCGATGAAAATACGTTGAAAAGAAAAATCCGCCCGCCAAAACTAGTTAGGCCAAGAGCCACGGTTATTGGACCGACCACTGTTCTTGTTGGACCAATTACCTTTACCGTCGTTAGGCCAACTTCCTTCGTCGTTATTGTCCCAACCTTTGCCCCAACCATCGTCGCGTTGCTTACCATGGTTACCCTTCTTCTGACCATTGCGACGCTTCCTGCGACTTTTTCCGCCAGTTGAGGAGGAAGCAACCTTAGAAGCGGTTGAAGCCTCGGCGTACTCAGCCTCGCGTTTGGCCTCGAGCTTGGCTTTGATAAGGCGGTAGTGCATCACGAGCACCTGGCGAGTTTTCAGGAGCAAGAAGAGCTCGCGGGTGTTGGTCTCGAGACGCTGGTAAAAGGCATCGGAGGTAGCCACCAAGGAAGGAATGGACTCCTCGCCGGTAAAGGCAAATTGAGAGAAATTGGTACCGACATAAGCCTTCGCGGAATCGACAATTTCGTCAGTGGCCTTGTCCTTGATGGGATCATGAGGGTCAACTGGAAAATCAGGGTATTAGTCAATAGAAACCCTGAAAATCGGAGATAAAACGTACCCGGACCAAAAGGATGGAGCTCGAGGAGATCATCGATAATGGACAAAGTTTGCTCGTCGTCCTGAAAATCCGGCTCGTTGAAAGGAAAGAGCAGGATTTGGCGATCGGGGATACCGCCTTGGCAGTACCGGCCCCAATTCTTAGTGCAGCCTGTGCAACGTTCTCCAAGGCCAGCCCAGTAACAGGTCTCGCCAGCCTCACGGCATGGATAGCATGGGCGCACGGCCTATACGGAATATTAGTTCAGTAAATTCTGTCACGGAAATTAAGAAACATACCGTGGTAGTCCGGGCAGGACAAGCGTGAGCCGGATGATGAGGCGTGCCAGAACAGTAGGCGCAGAAGGCCTCCCCAATCTTCATCTCGTCCTTCTTAAAGGAAGCACGGTAAATATCCGTGATCTTGTTGCCGATATCAATCGCGTCCTGAAGAGTGCCTTCGTTCTCGGCGCGAACCTCCGCGAACGAGGAAGAAGAATGAGCACTGTTCTTCGACGACTAATATTGCCAGAATCAGTCAATCATCTGGCGATATTGATACCAAGAACATACCGATTCCAAATCCGGAGAAACAATTTCCCCAATGTTAGGAGACGCAGCAAAAGAAGCCGGAAGAGAAGCAATTGCCGTAGAAGCAGTGGTCGCGTTGGAAGACCAAGACGCAGACTCTGCAACCTCCTTGGCAGGCAGAACGGGCGAGATTGGAACAGAAGTCATATGAACGTCCTCGTCAATGAAGGAACGAGGAAGCACAGTCAAACTACCGACGGCGGATTTCTCAGGAGGAGAGTCTTTGCCGGCGACAGAAGGGACGACAATAGGAGAAAAGTCCGGCATAGTAGCAGATGGCTCTGCAGCAGCGCTGGACTGACTAGTCTCAACACCAAGCATGATACTCCAGAACGGTTGGAAGTTCAAGAGCGAAATGCCGGCCTGAACAGTATCCTCGAATTCCGTATAAAAACTTTCTTTAACGAGGCGAGGATAATGAGTCAAGAGAGCAGTCTAAGAAATTATCAATATTCCGGAGGCAATATATAATGGAATTATACCCTACCCGAGTCTTTGCTGCATCGTCGAACCAGGCGACACGAACGGAGAACGGGGATTCCTTTGTCAAAGGATTTTTAACGAGCGAGTCCGCACGCTGGACGAGGGAGAGGAGAGTAGGAATTTCTTTGACAAAAGGAGCAGACATTGTTTGCGATGGAGATACTAGGACAAGACACCCACCTTTTATACGACAAAGGGAGGGAGTATCACCTCAGCACGATGATGTTACAATTCCGTCGGACTTAAAATTGAAACTTCGACGAGACACGGGTTGAAGAAAATACCGTGTGCTAGCTCAAAACTGTACTCAGCGGCATTATTTTCACATCGGCGAAGCTTGCGTACTTCGGTATAAATCTTTCAGGCTTTTGCCGTTAAAGATTTAAAAAGTCTAGGGGGGAGAGACATGGTCCCCATGTGTTCCTACGGCAAAAACATTCCTCTCATTTCAACATATTATTTTCGCGCAATCAGTAACGAATTCATGAAAGAAACGACCTCACAATTCACGAAAAACCGCACGAACTCATTATGAAAATCACTCCGGAATTATAAATATCCCACCTATTTGACTATACAACACGGGGATATCACAACTCACGGTAAAAACGCCATCCACCCACCTTACGAGTTCAAAATCCGAAGCACGAATCTTTATCTATGCGATCTACGGCGTTTACATGCCATCTCCATTCACACTCCTTTCATATTTCCATTCCACGGCATTTGGACTTAGGGATATTTTCAATCAAAGTGCTCTCGAGGTCACGTCAAAACCACACACGTGATCTCCAGTCACTAAAAATCCTCTAAGTTCGAAAATCCGCTAAAAATTCACCAATATTCACTCACTTTCACACAAATCTATACAAGAAAAGACTATTTATTTTGTTTAACGTCCTTGGGACGGTACATGCAAGTCTGATATAATTTTGCCCCAAGGGCGCGCGATATTCAACTCCTTCAAAAATAATACGGAGCCTAGCTCCCAAGAGATCCTACGCCAAGGCCGACTCAGAAATGGAAGAGTGGCGAAAACCCTGTACTTCTACTCACGGACTTAATCAACTTGTGATCAAGTAGTAGAAGGGCCCGCCCCGTCCTCATCCACCTCCTCATCGACAACAGCCTCCGTATCCTCAATTCCCTCATCCTCAGCCATGACCTCGGCCAGAGCCTCCGCACCCCATAGCGAATTGACGCAATCCCGAAGTCCATCGACATGTTCTTGCAAATTTGAGGCGCGGAAAATGTCGCTAATAATCCGAGCAATTGCGTCCATATGCTGGGCAATCAAGTTGCGAGCACCGACAATAGCATCGTATTGGACTAGAACAAGTAGTCAACGAAAAGAAAAAGGTCAAAACTAGTTGAAGACTTACCAGGATCCGGACGATATGGAATACGAGGGCAAAGTAACTTCTTGCCGTTGAAGGTGCAAGCGCTTTTAGTATAGACACATCTTGCACAGACGCAGCCTGATCGCTGCAGGGCACGACAATGAGTCCCGGCCTTCTTGCACCGGTCACACGAGTAGGAATACTATAAACGTACAGTCAGGAAACAAACGACGGCAGAAAAAGACAAAAGAACTTACAGCTTCTAAGACGAAGGGAGCGATATCAGCAGCCCAAAGTCGTCCATCCACCTCGACATGCGAACCAAAATCCTTGGAGAGCATGAGAACGCCCATTGAAGTACGGGGCTTCGAGACCTCTGTCATGCCTTTGGGAACTGGCTCTCCGAAACCTCCTCCAGAAATCCCTCGAGTAGGAGGCGGAGGTTCGTTCTTGGCTCGTCCACGCGTACGCTTGGCGTCAGGAAACTGTGGTGCTAAAAAGAAGGAATTAATAAAATCGGCAAAAAGGCAGAAGAGAGACTTACTCTGGGTATCCTCGTCTTCCGCGATGGCAGAAACCTTGCGTTTCTTTGAAGAAGGAACTTGGACTTCTACGGCCTTACCCTTTCCTTTAGACGACGTCTTCTTGATAACCCTGGATCCAGGCTTAATAACCGCGTGCTTTGTACGGTCGCGAAACGTTCGAGGGGAAGGAATGACGACGGTGTCATCGTTATCAGGGATAGAGTCTTCGAAAATCGGATTGGGCGCAGGCTTTGAAGTCTTAGCAATGCGACGAGTTGGAGGAGGAGAGTCGACGTCCATAGTTTCGTCCTCTGGAAGGGGCGGCGGAGTTTTGGCATTGTTCATAGTCGTATCCTGTTCGTCGTCGGTGCCAGGATAAAACAAAGGTGTACGATCTCGTACCTCGACTTCGTCAGGCTGAGAGGCCGCAGGAGACGGAACACGACGAAGGGGCGGCACTTTGAGAGTGATCAAGTCCGCTAACAGTAGCCATAAGTAAGACTACAAGATCTAAGAAAACAGTACTTACAGACTTGGACACCAGTGGACGAACTCGGTTCCTTCGTGACTGAGGCCTTGGAGTCTTTGAAGGAAGACAAAGCTTCCTCCACAAAAGAGGGCCTGGTAGGACGACGAAGAGGCGAATCTTGCGGCAAATGGAAATCGAACGTTGAAGGCAAAGCAGAATTTTGACTACCAAAAGGGGAGTTTAGTTGTGAAAGCGGCGGAGACCAGGCAGAAGTTCCCCACCCAGCCGGCGTAGAGAAAAGAGAAGGACCAGCTGAACCAGGACGAACGTCATTGGCAGCAGGCGGACCTGATTGGTCTACGCCTTGGTCTTTGGCTCCATGAGCAGCAGGAGGTGTTGGCGCATCGAAAAGATCTTGAGCAGATATCGACTGCTTATCCAGTACAGGTGGTACTGGCGACGCCTTTCTCGACGTTGAAAAGAGGGGGGGAGTAGGTTTGAACACCGGCGAGACTGGAGTTTTCTCCTTTGAAGGAGAACGACGAGGCGTTGGAGGTCTTGAAGCTGGAGGTACAGGCGTCTTTTCTGTTACTGGAGAAGGCACGGGAGTCGGTTCCCTGGGCTTTTCATGGAGAGTAGCCGTCCCCTTGGGAGACGGAGGAATTGAAGTCGTGTGTCTTGATTGCGCCGGTACAACTTCCTGCTGAATAATAGAAGTCGACGCGCCAGTATTCGATGGAGGAGCAGGCGTTGATTTGTCTTGAAGACGTTCGCGTCGAGGTGTTTGACTAAGCCCGCGACCGAGAGCCATCGAAGGTGCACGCGACTGACGAGACACGGCCGGACGAAGTACGAGAGGACTAACAGTGATGTTATACTTGTCCTAAAAGGAAGAAGTCAGTCAAACGAACGAAAGAAGAAAATAGTCAACGCACGAAGAACACCAGCATCGCATTAAACTCTGCTCGCGCCTGAGACACGAGTTTCCGAGGAAAATGTTGAAGGCACGATAGTGCAGCGAATTCGAGTTCAGACCAGTCATCTTCATCGACATCCTCTACCGCACTCCACGTCGTATCGCAAGTAACCCAGTTGGAGTGGGCGTTGAGCAACCATGCGTCGACCTCAGCGGAATCCCAAGTGTTCGTTGGAGGGTTAGCGCCGAGCTCCGTTAACTTTTGAGCAGAGTCGTGATAGCTTGGACCAAAGTCTTGTTCAGCCATGGCGGAAATGAACGTCGATGCACGCTGGCGAACGAAAGCACTGAAAGTTCCTTCAGTAAAACTACAGGCTACCGTCAAAATGGAAAACTTACCTCAAGAGGAGGAAGAGCGTCTTTGTGAGGCTCTAATGCACAGAAATACGCGTCGAAGTCAAGGCAGACAACGAGCAAAGAGCACAGAGGACGGTACCCACTAGTACGCGGTGGGGAGTGTAAAGAGAAGTCCAACTAGCGCGAAATTTCTCTAAGTTCACCTGGCCACGCGGCACAGAAGCCATGTGTGCCTTTCACCTTTCACCGTGAAGGTACTATGTGGAACTTAGAAGAAATACGAGACCGAGCCCGTATGGAATACCGCTTCTTCGGGATCTATTTATAGATCACCGACGCGTCTTTGGCATTACCATAGCCATTAACAGTCTTATCGCACAGCCACATCTTATCTCTTGACGACAAGTACCCTATACCCTGACTTCTCATGGGAATATCGATAATATCGCCAGCAACAAATGTTACGGAGTAACATAATAAAAGTCTAGGGGGGATGATGAGCCTCAAGGCTCTGTACGCTCAGAATTCGCGGATTTTAGCATTATAATAAATGCCTTGTCCACTTAGCGGACTTTCACTAAGTCAACGATTGCAATCACGGCAATACCCACTCTTACCGCCAACTATCCTTCCCAGCTCGTATTCCGTATCAATATGCGCCACTTCATTAATGCCGCCAGGCACCTGATTGCAGATCTCACGGATTTAGGACCATCATTGATCGCCCAGCACAGCCATCGATGACATCAGCATCAAGCGTCATTTAGAAGAATGCCACAGTCAAAGTACCAACTCCACGGCAAAAGACCTAATGCCGTGACCTTTCCACTCACTTTACTAAGGCTGTTACAATGCCAAGATAATGCCGCACGCATCTACTTCAGTGTACTACCTTCAGTGTACTTTGCCGCAGCAACACAGCAGCCCAAGAGTCCGTATGTCGGGGGAATTCTTTCTGATCATTAAGTCTATACGCGGTAAAACCGTGTGGGTGCTGTTACTTTAGAACTCTGGGAGCACGCGTTTTGTATCATTTCTTACCAATCGATGTACTAAGGACTTACTAAGGACTCATTTCAAGTATTCTAATTTTATTCCGGACTTGTAGTATAAAAGCTAGTGTAGTAGTAGTTGCTAGACAAGTTACTGGACACTAGCCATCATCCACGTTATCGACCACCGTTATCGCTTGTACTCGCTAGGAGATAGACAATAACAACATAGTCACTCCAAGTTATACTCTCTGTCACGGCTTTTCTTCTAACGGTATTGGTGTACGCTCATATTGCGCCAATACACGGAATTTGGTGTCCACAACTCGCTTTTATCTTTTAATCCGCCAGCATCGTTTCACTTTCACCAGCCAGGATCGTTTTCATCAGTTTTCACCTTCTACGTCGCCATCGTTTTACCCAGTTCAGTTCAGGATCGTTAAGTCCCCGTGTGGACTCAGATTAGGATCGTTATTGCCGCCAGCAGCATCTGTCACGGAATTTCGGTCAACAGCTTCAGTATAGGATCATCAGTCACGGTATTTGGTATCTTGCCATCAGTTTCAGTATAGGATAGTCTCCGTGTAGACTCAGGATTAGTATCAGTTTCGTTTTGCCGTCGTTAACCTCAGTATAGTTTCAGTTTCAGTCCAGCCCAGTCCCAGCCATCGTTTTGCCGTCGCTAGTTCCCCCTCATATCATCGCCAGTTCGTCTTATCTTCGTTTTACCGCCAGTTTCTCGTTTCTCGACTACAGTCTTCGTCTCTTGCCGTCACGGTATTTGTTATCTTGCCAACGGTATTTCTCTTTGACGGCATTTTCTCTAATTCCGTCAACATCGCCCACGGCTTTTACTAGTTAAATTGCCGTCACTTCGTTCACGGTTTGCCGGTATTCCCAGTTATACCGGATTCCGTTCCTTCTCGTCTATCGAGACCCTCCCCGGCTTACAGCCAACGTTTTCTAGTACTCGATCGTTAAGGGTACTACTTCGCTGACTGAAAAGTCGCAGTGTATACTTGCGTTCTTGAGGAATTCATCGCACGGAGGTGCACCGAAACACTCGCACAACAACAAAGCCTTTATTGCCGCTACACGCCATTTGCCGTGAACTCCTGTAGAGTTTTGGTTTTTGCCGTTGCCACGGAAGTTTAGGCTCATCAGCGCGGAGCACCTTCAATATATTATCTTCAGTGAATTTAATTGAGTGATACACTGCAGAGGAGGGCACAGTGTGTGTGTATAAGCACTGAGACTGCACACTTAAATGACACAAGTGTGCCGTTCTAAGTCTAAGCCATGCGCTCTACTCATATTATTTTTATTATAGTGCTTTCTGCCTCAGTGTGTAGCGCTCTATGCCTTACATGCACTCTAATATTATTCACGGGGCACACACACGTTTGCATTCCTAGAATTCGCAAAATTACATGTGTGAACGTGTTGCACGCATGTCAATGGGTTGTTCACAGCCCCCAGGAGTAATTGCCATGGGGGAATAGGGTCTGGTGGCGAAGGTGGCACAGGAGGTACCGGCAGATTTGGAGGTCACGGAAGGGACCTGAGATGGGGGTTATGTCTCGGGGAGGGATATCCCCCTGGGTAATGCGGTGGCAGTGGCAGCGGCAGTCCTTTCGGAGGTTGCGGCGGTACTGTTGAGCCCTTTCCTTTGTCGATGTTAGAGGGCCCTGCCCCTTCACTGTCCACCCTGCCCCTGTCCGAGCCTCCTCCCCCTGCATCGATTCTAGCCGTCTCCAACGGGTGTGGCATGGGCGCCAGTCGTCAATAGGCTGCACAACCCTGTTTGAGGTAGTCGGGATGGCAGATATTCCAGACTATGGCCACCCGATGCCAGGCGTCCACCTCGAGTATGTTTTTCATTAAGTATTTGTCTCCGGAGAGTCGGGCATCCAGATAGTCTTCTCCTGCTTCCGAGAGGAGCCACTGCGGGTCCTGGACCATGTCTTCCACGATGACTTCATACATATTCCCCCAGGTCAGGAGATTTAACTCCGGGAGTACTTTGGTGACGTGTTCAGTGAGAATCCTTTTTATTTGCCACATCACTTCCTTCATTATGGCACTCATGGGTGGCTTCTTCAGCATTCCAGCAGGCGATCTCCTCGGCACTCCACTGCCTGCTGGCTCTGAGGGCCCAAGGCTCAGACTCCTCATTCTCTCGTCGTTGTCTCTCCCTGCGTTGCCGGTCCCTTCTCCAATTACTGAGGTCAGAGCAGTCCTCATTGAGCGTCTCGAAGAGGAAGTCCTGGAGAACTTCATCGTGTCGCTCGAGGTCATCGCATGCTCTTCGGGACTCTTCCCGAAGTCGAAGCTCTGCGGTTCCAATCCTTCATTGCGCCTCCTCATCTGTGGCATCCGGCTCAAGGGGGAGGTTGAAGGAGAGGTTTCGTATGGCGTGATGCTCTGTGTTTCTGATGCGTGCACTCGCCGTTCTTCCTCGGTCCAGGAGGGCCTCTCCTTCTGGGGTGAGCTGGGTAGCTCGAGGGTTGAAGTTGGACTGGACGAGCGTGTTGTACTCATCAGTCCACGGATGCTGATTGAAGGGGACGGGGGATGCAAAAGCCCATGGTGCGACTGATGGAGTGAAAGTGGGGATTCCAGGGAATTGGTCGGAGGAGGGACCTCCTCCAGGGGTATCTGTGTATAGATCGGGGTGAGCGTCTGGGGAGTATGCTTCAACGGTGTTCCAGATGCGCTCCTCTGTTTCGGCGGGGAGGGTAATGGTCCGTGGGACTGGGGTGTCCTCGGGCCCGGCGGCTTCAGCTGATATTTCGGCCACAGGAGTTTCTTCCCCGGCGAAGACCCAACTTGTTGCGGGGTGCCATGCCACAGGGATCCCTTGCCAGTCTCTTCCGCTGCCTGGTGCAATTCTACCGTCATAGGGGTCTGCTCCACCTGGACGGGAGGTAGTTGCAGCAGAGGCCCCAAGACTGAGCTCCCCACTATCTTCTGCAAGGTCGTCTCTGCGGAAGTACTCACGGGTGTCTGCTTCTGCAGCAAGGAAGAACAGGGATGGTCCTTCATTTCCAAAAGGGGTGACATCATCTTCTTGCATCGGGACGCCGTCGAGGAGGTCTTGGAGCCGGATCCTTTCGAACTCGGTAAGACCGTCTTCTTTGCCCTGGTCCATAGACCCTCCTTCTTCTCCTCCAACGGGAGGGAGGTCGATGATTCCTGGGGGAGAGACATTGATGTCTCCGAGATCGATGCCTCGTATGTCTGTGATGTCGACGGAGGCTGCTCTTGGGGTTGGGGAAGACTCCCCGGAATCTGAGGATTCTCCTCTTGGTGTGATGGGTCTGCCATCGTGAAGCGTGGGTTGCACTGGAATGTGCGGATATGGAACGGTTGGGTATGGAATTGGAAGATGTGGGATGTAATGGAATGGGAGTCTCACTCTTCGAGCGTGGGTGCAACACCTGTAGACTGCCCGGATGGCTAGTGCTAGGAGTGCCCCTGCAAGTAATCCAAAAGCTACTGCAATTGTTGGTAGCAGTTCAGCAAGTGGCATACGAGCAGTCAAACAGTGAGGATCGCGAGGGCGATCAAGAATGCGATGTGAAGGTTGAGGTCGGTTTCAGTGTCAGTCATCCAGAGATGGACGCTGACCGCTGATGGGGATTCGGGCGTCGAGGAGCTGGTCACAATCAACAGTACCACTGCTATGATTGCAAAGAGCTGAACGGCGTAGAGGTATAGTAACAGGGTTGGGGGTATGTGGTTTGATTGCTGGATTCTGGATGATCGATGGGCACCGACAAACGTCTAGGTGCAGCCTAGCGACCTTTCAGTCTAGCTGGAGAATATAGTTCTTCGAAAAGTTGGGCAGCGTTCGTTCTCAGACGTGGCACTGGGCAATGTAGGACGAGCTTTGGCTAAATGTCAACAACCAACTAATATCGACTTAGATCAACTAAGGATCGCCACTCGCACTTCGGTGGACGATACTCTTAGAGGTCAAAGGAGATAAAAGAGAGTTGATTGAGGACTTAGATAGTCACGAAACAAGGAGCTTTGAGTTGTGTAGATTAAACCTTAGCCGAAGCTGGGGTTTAGACCAGCTGAGGCTCTACTTAAATACATGATGCGTAGACTAATAATAGTACTGTGAGAACAAGTCCGTTGCGATCGTACGAGAGAATCATGTAGCATAAGCAGGAAAGGTAAGCAAAAGGAAAGAAATGAAAGAGAAAAATGAATAAACCGTTGATGAACCTATAGACTCCCGTGGGTGGAAACACAAAACCTAGGTGTGGTATGTGCTAACAGACACGGAATCTGAAGGATGGTTCTAGCGAGTCTAGTCGGGGCACCTCCGTGCAGTGACTAAAGCCTCCTAAGTTTGGAAAGATAAAGGAATTTCTCTACTAGTAGCATAGAGGGCGGTAGCAAACTATAAAATTTGCAGGAAGGGAAGTAATTGGGAAAGGGATCCTAGAAGAGGCCCTAAAACGAATCAGTAAACATACAAGGACTATACCTTGTTCCTGTTGCAACTCTAGCTGCGAGCACAATGAATAAGAGCTCTAAAGAGACTGTCCAAGTTCTAGCTGCGAACTCAGAGGCTGTAGTGAATTATTAAACTCGCGTGGTAAGGTTGAATCAAAGTGATGAGGATCGGTCTGATACTCGACGAGACTTTCTCTGGCTGCAAGAAAGAGAAGGCATTGATGGGAGAGATGAAAATGCTGTCTCCTAGCTGTGGAAGCAAGCGAATTTGTTTGCGAAGCAAAGCAATAAAAGAGTTTCCTAGTGGCGGGACTCCTAATTACTTTGCGTAGAAGAGAGGGATGGGTTGTAAGCACAAGTAACCGTTAAAGGTTCACTGTGGCTTAGAGAAATAAAGGTTCGAGATGAAGTTCTAGCAGCAAAAATGTCTTTATTGCGCTACTTCAAGGGTGTATGTTGTATGGTGTAGGTGTTAGAGATCGAAGGTAAGCGTAGAGAATAATCTGGGGTCTCCCTTCCTCGCTCTCCCTCCCCTAAACTAATTAGTTAGCTACTTTTTATACTAGTTTGTGAATTAAAGGTTTGTAAGCTACAGTATTCCTTGCTGTGTTGATTTATAACACAAGCAAACTAATTACTGAGTAATATGACATGATTAACCCTTCCTTACCAATGCTGAGTTGAGCACAGTTGAATCCGCAGGCTACAAGGACTGTGCATTACTGTGCATTGCACTGCAAGTAAGCAAGCTTTGTAACATGTTTACCAAGCAATCCACTGGGGTTTGCTTAGCAAATTAAACAGTCTTAGTAAGTTCTAAACCACTGCTGACTGTTGCGAATTAAATAATTCTCTACCTCGTCATCAGGTAGGACTGAGTTATTTCAGGTGGGTGGCTATGTGCTGGGATCAATGATGAGATTTGATCAATCAGGATCTGCAATCAAAGTGCCTGAAGATCAATGGCTGTGCTCTGATGTAGAAAAGCCTGATAAATCCGCGAATTCTGAGTGCACAGAGCCTAGAGGCTCATCACCATAACACAAGGAGGAGAACAGATGAATGGTGCTTCCTACTGAAGATCCTGACATCGACTGCACCATGATGCATGACACTTGACATTCCAACAGTAAAAACCTCGGAATATATATAATAATCAATGACTAGACAAGAATGTTTTAGCAAAATACAAAAGAACTCTACAAACCTCGGAATTTCGCTTCCAGTTAACTTCCAATACAAAGCCAGATGCAAAATCAAGATGTGGTCACAGAATTCTACATAGAACCTCAGTGTGAAAGGGTGATAATGTATTCGGCATGTTTTTGAGAGGATATAATACTTGCCTAGATTTATAACATAGGTATCTATATATCATTACTCCGAAGCACATTCTCCATCTTAATCACCGCTTCACAAGGAGCTGCATTTGATGGGATCATTGCAGCAAGAGCCAAGGCGGTCGATAGCAATATGTTGCAGCATTATAACACATGAATTAATGGAGAATCAATAGAGGAGGGAAGGCAGAGAGGTAAGAACAAAAATTTCAAGATTTTTGCGAGTGGGCTGGAAATATGTGCAAACAATGGTGTGTCTGCGGCCACAGATAACACCAGAGGGGTGTACCGTCAGGTAGTAGTGTCCATCGGGATCCGTAAAGTACTTGCAAATTTGAAGTAGTGGCAGATCGCTAAGTAGAGATACACGTGTTGCTGATTGTTAGAAAAGGGGGAAGTGGCTGTGTGAACCTAACCCTAGGAAACCACCTGATGGTGAACAAGCGCATGCATCAAAAGTAGTGCTGGGAACAATCAAAAGTAGTGGTGTCCTCCCTACAGAATGAAAGAATTTTTGTACAGTATAATGCCCATACACAACAATGCTGATCATGCTCAACTTTAGGTACTCTTATTTTTGTCTGTACTATGCAAGGGGGTCGCAAAAACTGAAAAAATCATATCAGGTCAAAAAAATTTTTAAGGCCTCGATGGACCGACCGACCGACTGCCATGGGAAAAACATACCCACAAAGGAAACATCATGTAATCACTCCATGTCAGAGTCATCCGCCAGTGCGAGCTTTCCGCCTACTTAGTCCTCTCATCCTCGATCTAAATGCTGATAGTGTACAATTTTTGTCTGCTAGCGACAATGCTGTCCTACTGTACATGGCAGACACCTCCAATTTTGGATCCGTCAAACTCGACCAAATATTTTTACAGCCGGTAACTCAATTCTCACTAATCCTGCCGATATCCGGCAGCATGCCATTGGCGTTTTGAGCCTTCGACATCGTTTTGACCGCTTTTCCGGTGCTCTTTAGGCCATGTTAGGTCATGAATATCATACTGTGGGTAGTCGGCATGTGCAAACGGATCACGATGTGCAAATTTTGATGCAGCACAGCTTCCTGTAAACCCACAATAAAATTATTGCACACTATTAATTATATGATTTTGTTCAGTTGTCAGAAAAAAAATCAAAGTCAACAAGTGGTCAGGATGTGCTGCAAAGCAAGATTTGCACATCGCGATCCATTTGCACATGCCGACCACCCACAGTATATCAGCTGAAATAAACACCTCCAGCAGTGTCTAGGGCCTCTGGATGCTATTTTACAAGAGGGGGGCAAAAATTTTTTAAGGACCTTTTGGACCGACCGACCGACCAACCCGATGTGCCGGCTTGCCGGGCCGCAACCCCCTTGGTACTATGCAAGCACTTATTCGAAGCAGCCCTAAATCTACGTGCTTCGTGGCCGACTTGTACTTGTAGCTTTACTTCTGGCTGTTAACTTCATCCTCTCCCTCTCTGCTCTCGACTATGTTGTGGAGCATTCGCGATCCACCCTCTCCTGTTTTTGTTCCCTCATTGGTGCCGGAGGGTATATGCTATTCTGAGCCAAGCTCTCCAAAGGCAAACACACCAAACTTGTCTCCAACTCCAGCGGCAGATCCACCTTCACCATCTTTCCCTCGTCCTTCTCCTCCGAGTATCAGGCTGGATTTGGTGGGGCAAGAGCAGTGGTCTACGAATCCGCTGCAAGTCACGTCTACGTTCATTGTCGTAGGTGACAATGGCTTTCAGCCGGTGTCTAGCCCTGCATGTGGAATGGGGTGGAGTTTCAACCTCGATCTTTGTCCGTCGAGTACTTCTACCGGTAGAAAGATAAGAAAGGCGGGAAGTGGAAGACTACGCAATCCATCGTTATTGATCCCAGTGTCACTGCGGTCCACGCTTGGCTTCAGTCAGGCCTAGCTGGGTTTCCGCCTGAGAAATCTTCGATTCGTGCGTCGTTCAGGAGGGACTTCTGTGTCCTTGTGATGTTGGAGGACGACAGGGAAGAATGCATGCTCCAGAAACAAGACACCGTCTCGCTAGGACACTGCGATATTACTCTTCCATTGGGAGAACCCTTCATTGATCTGGTCATCACCGTAGCCCCCTCAAGCTCAGAGCCTTCCTCCGAAGTCTCTCGAACAATCTCTGAGCCTATGTCAAAGGCCATTAGAGCCTCGCTTGACGGCAGCTTTCTCATTGGCGTCAAACTTATGGTTTTTACACGTAAATATGGGGAGACGTCCGCATGTAACCGTCGTGCCATTTATGCAAGCAGCAGCATTTTGAAGGGTCGTAGTGCGTTCTTGGAGAGCTGTAAGTTTCGCCAGGTTCGTCTTCTATCATGAATGCTAATATATATCCTCTTTCCAGATATCAATGGTCCTTACGATGACCCACCGCCGGGCGTCTGCCAGTATCCCTATGATGAAGACAGTGATCTCCCTTGCGACATCCCTCAAAAGTCTGACCGCACAACTATAAGACCACAACCGGAAGCACTTTCCCGTGCTTTATCTCCCGTCGATATCACAGGCTTGGATACAGTACAGCCTGCGCCACTCGAATTCCGTGGCAGTGAAAAGTCATCTCCAGCATCGATATTCGATTCGCCACCCTTATCTACCACATCTTGCAAAAAATCACCGGCCAAGAGTTGTCGCTCTCTTGTCTCAATCGACGCTCTGTCCTATCAAAAATCTGACGTTATCAACGTTTGTGGGCATGAGAAGGCAGAATCTCCCGTCTGCAATGAATCTATGGGTCGGCTTGCTGAGGTTACGAATCATCGCGTGGAAGATTACCTAGCCACTACAGCGGAGCCTCAACAGAAAGCTCCGACGTCGCTTCCACACCTGGTATTGGTTAACGACGTGGCTTTCAGGACGTACGTAACCCTACATCCCTGCTTGCACAATAACTGACATCAATCCACCAACCTTTTAGCTTCCGAGCCTTGATGGTATACATGTATACCAAGGAGGTCGCTTTCATCCCTCTCAAATCCAGTGGTGGGCGCTCGTACAACGTCGGTGATGCATGTTCTCCGAAATCAATGTATCGCCTTGCAGTCAAAGTACAGTGTTGTTCTCTTCTTCTACTGAAGTATCTGAATTCATACGTTCTAGGCCAACCACGAGGGCCTAAAGAAACACGCATTCGACAATTTACGCTCTCAGCTTGGGCCTGCGAACATTATTACGGAGATCTACTCGAAGTTTACTAGAGAGTATGTCATCGGTCTTTGAAGGTTACCATTGGACACACTGACACGCTCGTTTTTAGTCACCCCGAGATATTTGACATGGAACTGACTGTCTTGCTGGATCACTTTACGAATTCTACGGTAAGAGGCGAGTGGGAGAAGATGATAGACTTGGTGGCGAGCGGTCGGCTTCCACACGGCTCAGATATTTTGAAGAAAGTGACTCGTGTCTTGCGCACTTGACTAACAATTCCCTAACTTTATCCTGCGATCTTTTGAACTCTGATCATTCATCGGACTGGTCACGTACATAGCTAACTAATCGAATGCATTACAAGGTCACGCGTCGTCTTTCGCTTCTTCCATTCTGACCCACATACCAGCCTGTCAAACGAGAGTCATTTCAAGATTGAACGTCGGATGCGCGTCGGATCGACTAACCTTAGCATACATCGTCAAATGTAACCCGAACATGATCTTATCTCTCCCTTTAGTCGTTCCCGGAGTCTTCGTCCAATTTTTGGGAGGAATTCCTTCGGCGGGTTGTGCGTCCATAGCGAGACTGAAAGAAGAGAACGTTTGGAGGAGTCGTATAAGATAATACGAAGCCTCGTTATAAGCAAACTAACAAGAAGAGTCGGAAAGCATTCAGTGGAGATGGCGTCGGTGTACGCACCTGTTGGCCTAGGCAAATTCTTGGGCCTGCATTGAAGGGGACAAATATGAATGGGTTCGGAGTCAAATACTTATGCAGGCGCTGATCGAGGAATCGACCCGGGTCAAATTCGAGAGCTAGAATTAAACGTGAACCATCGAAGTAATAGCAGTGCGGTGCTCGTTTTACCGTCCGGTCCCCATAAATCCGTCCGTCGATGCATCAAGAATACGGAATAAGTGACCCTATGGTATCACATCGACAGATTCAGACCAGTTCAATGTACACGATTGAAGTATTGACCTTGTACCACTCGGAACGTAATATGGTGCGCGTCCTTTGTTCGGAAGGGTAGTAGCCACTTTGCACGAACTAGTACGTGAGGGTGTCATGTCAACCCACGAGAAGAGACGATAAAACTTACCGGCCATTCAGCGGGCTGAGGCCGATATATGTTTAGAGCCTTTCATTTTCAGAAGATTGGTTCACCTACACAGATGGATACAGCCGTAAAGTCTCTGGATTGTATTGGTCAGAAATGACTTCAATAAACTCATCGGTGACCGTACCATTCAGGAATGCTCGCAAATATTTCATATCACGAATGTCCTCGTAAGTGGGTGTCCTTGTGCCAACTTTCTCGAGGATCTCCGACCGTAAGCGAGTAGCCATTTCTGGATGCTCGCACATCATATACACCGCAAAAGTCAGCAGAGAAGCCGTCTACATTGACGTTATCCATGTGTTCATTCAATGAAAGTAATTCCGGAGCTCACGGTATCTCTACCGGCGACGAGGATGTTCACAAGTTCATCTTGAATAACCTCGGTGTCTATAAGCACCATCACTATCAGCAATTCTCATCTTTGTCTATGAGAAAGCAACACGCGCCGTCGGTATTTTCCACGAGACGGGCCAACAAGGACATGCCCTCATCGGAGTCCTTCTCATTCTCCACCAGCTTAGGGCTGTTAGCCTTTCTACTAAGAGCCTCGGCGAGTAGAGGCTCGACGAACTCATTGACGACTCGCCGAAGGGGCTTTACCGCGTCTGCCTTGAATTCAAAGAGCGGCCAGTATTGCCCTCTCTGAAGTCGAATGGCACTTTGTTCCTGTGCCGCTGCGAATGCCTTGACGAACATATTAGACAGGTGATTGACGAAATGGGGATTGCCGGCAAGTGGAGATCCAGCCGGGTAGGGGAGGCCTGCGGATGTCGAGTTCACGTCTTTCCCGAACAAATACTCTGTAGCCGAATCCAAAGTGAAGCGAGCGACAACATCCTATCGTTGTCAACCTATTATGAGAAGAATGACATGCGCGTAGATCTTTTGGGTACTAACCTGAAAATCGACCGGATATCCCTCCCTCAATCTCGATTTGATTTGGGAGATTGTACTAACGGCGTGTCTTTCGAAGTTATCAAAGTCAGAAATTCGATCCTTGTTGAAGAGAGGCCTCGTCATCGTCCGATGAAACCTAATGGGATTCTCAGCGCAAGAAATCTTTGTCGAGAAATACGTGTATTCACTTCCAAATATCGTCTGTTTTGTGGGAAGATGCTAAGCATATGGATAGCACAAAATGTGCAAAAGGCTCTTACCATCTGAGTTAAAAACCCCAGAACCGAGAAGAGATTCCGCAGCGACGAAGAAGACATGGCCTAGCCGATAATCAAATGGCAAACCCGAGCCAGCTAGTAACGACAAACCTTTCTGAAAGTCTTGAAATTGTGTCGCTAGGACGGCCTGAACGCGTGTATTAGCAGGATGCAATATGGGCTGATTGGTGGCCCTAATTTACCTTTATGTGCTCTGGTTCAGTTGTAAATATCTCGGGTAGCTGTCAGTTTAGAAGGCACAAATAGGCTGCGACATGAACTCACCCGCTTGTCCGAAAAAGCGTCGAATACGAAGGTGTTTCCGTATTGTTCGCTCCACTTCTGGAATACTTCACCTAATTGTAGCTCGATCATTAGCTCGAAGCGCTTCCCAGAGTTCAAACGCAAACGCACTCGGGTATCCGTTCGTAAAGCCGTATACCAATTGTCGTAGGATGGAGAAGCTGCTTCCCTGGACACTGGGTGTCATGATAGCGCCTTGTGCAGCGGCATGCCTTTCGATTGTAAAGCTCGTGAAGCAGTTGCGGGCCACTACAAAGACGAGCTGTAATACCAAAGGGACGGCAAAGGAAAGCCAAACAGGAAGACTGAAACCAGCTAAGGTTTGGAGAGCCCAGAAAGCGGAGGATGGGACGATGACAACGAAGAACAGGGCTCGGGACAGAAAAACAAAACCAGGTGGCAGATAGCTGGTAGTCATGATGGGCAAGAACGAGAACAGATCATCGACCACCCCTTTAGATATAGTGGCGAATAGTATTATTACATACGGACTACAGTCGCCCACGGCAATACTGAGAGTAATCCGAAGTGACTGAATGCATCAAAATACGGATAACGTCTTACCGGATCCGTGCATCCGTCCTTTTCTTGTTGCTATCTGCATTCTGAAATCTCGTCATGAGTGGTGGTTGGGTGGAGAAGGCCAACTTCCGGCTTCAAGCAATACCGGATTCCGGTTACTGGTCACAGGCGATTGGTCCAAAATCCATACATCGAAGAATTGTTTCCAAGTTTACCGGTTAACTATCATGGTGCACCCCCTTTGATGACTTGAAGTGGTCACTTGCGTAAATCAATGAGATATAAGCATCAACTCTTAAAATGTTGGTGATGCGTGTTCTCCAAACTTATCAATGTATCACCTCGCCGTTAAAATATGGCGTTGGCAGTTTATCTATCGGAGTGTCTGAATCTGCATATACTCTAGGCCAGCCATGAACCTTGACATGTCATACGCGTCAGGTGGAACACTGCAAACTACCCCAGCCTCGGAATGCAATGCGCGTCCTTGGCAAAAGCGACGCGTGAGCCTCGGAGCCTAAGAAAAGATTAGTTGGATAGGATATAAAGTCTACATTCATGTTACGTTAGATGTTGACGATCGCATTGCCAGTGGTCATCGATGCAGTTTTCGCAGCAGAAGATTGAATTCAAGATGCCAAGTATTTCTCGATTCTCGAACGTCTTGAGGTCACAGAGTCCGTTCCTGTCGGACTCGGGTTATTGTACACTTACCGTACTTTTATTTTCAACTATAAATTTCCACGGCAGAAGCCAAACGCATCGACGAGGTTATATTCACGACAAACGCTGTTGACGCACATAAACCTACTTCTGGTTCTGAAGTAGGAAATAACGTAAGCACTTCAACGTAAAGAGAGAACCCACAACACAAACTCCTCCACGAAAATAACAAGTGGGAGGAAAATGCTAGAAAGTGAACGACATGAATACAAAAGAAAAAATAATAATCTAAAGCAGCCGGATTCAGAGGAAAGAAGTCAAGGTATTGATCGGAAAAACCGGTATCGAGCGATAATAGTAATTCGGCGATCAACGAGATAGATAAGATGATAGTACGTCCAGATTTTTCCACGGATTCATTGACTCGGGAAAGTTAATGGCGGCGAAAAGTTGTTGCATTTGCCTTTTATATGAGGACATGTATGAACGGAGTAAGAATTATCATCAAGTTAGTGTAGCTGCTCGGACATTATAAGTACTTTCACACGTCATCTTTCGCTTCTTCCATTCTGACCCACATACCAGCCTATCAAATCAAAAAGTCATTTCAAGACCAAGCACCAGATACTTCATGCGACTAACCTTAGCATACATAGTCAAGTGCAACCCGAACATGATCTTATCCCTCCCTTTTGTCGTGCCGGGAGTCATTTTCCAACTCTTCGGAGGAATTCCTTCGGCGGGTTGTGCATCCATAGCGAGACTGAAAGAAGAGAACGTTTGGAGGAGTCGAATAAGATAGTACGAAGCCTCGTTATAAGCAAACTGACGAGAAGATTTAAAAAGCCCTCAAGGACATTGGAGATGGCATCAGTGTACTTACCTGTTGGCCTAGGCAAATTCTTGGGCCCGCATTGAAGGGGACGAATATAAATGGGTTCGGAGTCAAATATTTATGCAGGCGCTCGTCGAGGAATCGATCCGGGTCAAATTTAAGGGCTAGATAGAATTGAACATGAACCGGCGAAACAATAGGAGTGATGTGCTGGTCGTACCGTCGGGTCCCCATAAATCCGTCCTTCGATGCATCAAAAATACAGAATAATTCACCCTGTAGTATCCGATTGACAGGATAAAACAAGATGCACGTAGTAGATATGAGGGACTGACATTGTATCCTTCAGAACATAATATGGTGCGCGTCCTTGGTTCGGAAGAGTAGTCGCTACTTTGGACGAACTAATACATGACAGAACAGTGTTATAAGAGGTCCCAGGAAAAGTGGTAGGACTTACCGAGAATTTATTGGGCTAAAGGTGACAATTTTAGTGCCATTCAGTTATAAAATTAGCTCGCTTACACGGGTGGGTACAATCGTAAAGTTTCTAGATAGAAAAAGTGAGAAAAAAAAGTGTGGTATGATGATCGAAGACCGTACCATTCAGGAATGCTCGCAGATATTTCATATCACGAATGTCCTCGTAAGTAGGTATCCTTGTACCAGCCTTCTCGAGGATCTCCGATCTCAAGCGAGTGGCCATTTCCGGATGCTCACACATCATGTACACCGCGAACGTCAAAAGAGAAGCCGTCTAGATGGAGTGTTATCCATCAGCTCACTTAAACGAAGCAGCGCCGAGACTTACGGTGTCTCTACCAGCAACCAAGATGTTCACGAGTTCATCTCGAATTACCTTGGTATCTATGTTTATCATTGTCAGTAATTCGCGTTTTTGATTGAGAAAGCGACACGTACCATCAGTATTCTCCACAAGACGAGCAAGCAAGGACATGTTCTCATCCGAGTCCTTCTCATTCTCCACCAGCTTGTCACTTTTGGTCTTTCTATTGAGCGCCTCGACGAGCAGAGGCTCGACGAACTCATTAACGACTTGCCGAAGAGGCTTAACTGCATCGACACTAAATTCAAACAGCGGCCAATACTGCCCTCTTTCGAGACGAACAGCGCTCTGCTCTTGTGCGGCAGCGAATGCCTTGACAAACACGTTAGACGGATGGTTGACAAAGTGGGGGTTATTAGCAAGGGGAGATCCCGCTGGGTAAGGGAGACCTGCGGATGTCGAGTTGACGTCTTTTCCGAACAGATACTCCGTAGCGGAATCCAGAGTGAAGCGGGCGACAGCATCCTATTGTCGCTATTAGAAGAGTGGTGTGTGCGCAGACTATATGGATCACTAACCTGAAAATCGACGGGATATCCTTCCCTTAATCTCGATTTGATCTGAGAGAGCGTACTAGAGGCATGTCTTTCGAAGTTGTCAAAGTCGGAAATTCTGTCCTTATTGAAGAGAGGTCTCGTCATCGTCCGATGAAATCTAGAAGAGTATTTAGCATAAGCAGAAGGAGAGCTCAGGGTATACTCACTTCCAAATATCACCTGTTGCACATCATCTTTGAGTATTTGCGTACGCGATGTCGACATGCGAAAGGCTCTCACCATCGGAGTTAAAAATGCCCGCTCCCAGAAGAGACTCCTCAGCGACATAGAAGATACGGCCTGGAGTTGAACATCAATGACGAAACGGTAACCTCATGAATAGCCACAAACCCTTTTCAAAGTCTTGGAACTGAGTCGCAAGGATGGCCTGGGTGTACCGATTAGACAAACGTAAGATGAGGTGTGTATTAGTCGTCACGTACTTTGATGTGTTCTGGCTCGGTTGTGAACATCTCGGGTCGCCGTTAGAGCGAGAAACATATACAGCACACGATAGCCATTTACCTGTTTGTCTGAAAAAAAGTTGAACGAATAGGTGTTTCCATATTCTTCGCTCCACTTCTGGAATATTTCATCTAATGTAATAGCAGCCGAGTGTTAGCTCGAAGTCCTCAGAATCTAAACGAAAACAGACCTGGATATCCATCCCTGAAGCTGTGAGACATTTCCCGTAAGATAGAGAGACTAGTTCCTCGAACACTGGGTGCCATGATAGCGCCCTGCGCAGCAGCCTTCCTTTCGACTGTAAAGCTCGTGAGGTAGTTGCGGACTATGGCAGACACAAATTGCACGGCTAAAGGGACGACAAAGCAAATCCATGATGGAAGAATGAGACCAGATGTTCGCAATATGTTTTGGAGAGCCCACAAAGTTGAACAGGGGAATATTACGGTGAAGAAAATTGTTCTAGACAGGAAGGCAAAGCCAGGCGGTAAGTAGATGATAGCCATGATGAGAAACGATGAGACGAGACTAGCAACCCTCTTATTTATACGGTGGCGAATGGTACGATTGTTGCCGGCTACGGGAACGCGTCAAAGCATAATTACTATGTTTGAACGGTAGTTGAGCGGAGTCGTTTCCGGCTTCAAACAATACCGAACTCCGGTTACTGACCACAGACAGGTTCAATCTATACGCTGAAAATAACCATGGTTACCGGAAAGTTCTGCAAACAAGAGATGGTTATATACCAGGCGGAAACCAACGAAACATAGTAAGAACCGAGGGGGGACAGTATTTCGCGAGTAAAACTTTGTTCAGGGCCTCATCCACTTCTAGGTGAATCAAATTGGTGGTCTACCACTCCGAAAGCTCGAAAAACTTGAACCGTAAAGCTTTTTGTTTCGTACAAAAATGAGTCGATGGTCCGACGTGCATCATGGCCAAGCCTGAGCACGGTAGGGCTCGGGCTCAGGGCTTAGGCTTGCGATTTCGAACGCCAAGCCCGTATTAAACCAAGCCCAGGCCCTCAAAGCCAGGCCAAGCCGGGCCCTGTACAATCGCTATGTGCATGGCTTTGGGGGGCGATGTGGCGTGGTAGACTGTCAGACGACTCGGACCGACCGATCCGTCAACAAACATCGCAGCGCATCTTGTTTACTCACGCGATAGACCTAGCAGCGGGCCCTGTCTGCAAAAAATGCTTTACGATCGCATGTAAAGAGTCTCGGTATCCCTGTGGATCTGGAGAAGGGATCTGTTCAGGTCAAAGGTGATGATAAGATTTAGAATGCAGAATTTATCTTCTGAAAAGGTGAGTCAAAGGTCATGATTACAGACTA